GGGGAGGGGGGGGGGTGGGGGGGGGGGGTTTTAGAAAGACCCCCCCCCCCCCCCCTTTTTGTCAGGAAGAACCCCCCTTTTGAAATTGCTGGATACGGGCCTGGGTTTTACCTATGGTAAAATTTGAAAAATGGTTTATTGTGCTGTATATATTAAATAACTGCATTGAGAAGAATAAGAGAGAATCAGAATTGGCCCAAGATAGACTGGGATATATAGAAATTTTTCTTCAAGTCTCTATGCAAGGAAGTTAATTAGTCACACAATTTTCAAGCCATTTACAGCTAATTGAGACATTAAATTATCTTCTTTAGTGAAGAATAGCATCCTAATTACCTTGCACACATCATCATTAAGGTCACATTGGTTCTCCTTAATTTATAAAGGTGCCCTAATAAAACATCCAGACAATTTACATACATTAATATTTATGAAATCAAAGGGCCATGTCCGTACCTCAACTGCTTCCTCTTTTAGTGTGAAGGCGTGCAGTCTTACTTCTCAATATTTTTTTCTTTTTTTTTCTTCCATTAGAGTGCACTGGATAAAAAAATTATACACAGATTTCTGTTTACAGGTTTGGTCTTGTAGTAACTATGAAATAAAACATTTGCAAAAAAGAAAGCACCTATCTTTTAGCTCACCAGCAGAATAATGCAATGTATTAAGTTCAGCGCTTGTCTCTGTCTTCCCTGTACTAACTTAATGACATTGGTTGTAATGTAAAGACAATGGAGTTCTTCAAGAGTTGCATGTCTGGTATCATTATCTGTGAGGCATCATACAGTGAGTTCATTCAAAATGTTCAACTAAGCGCTTGTACCTTAGAGTGTCCAGATTATTTTTGGATTAGAAATTATTAGACAATCTTCATTGAGTCAATGTGGTCTTGAGAGCTCTTTTGCCATGTTTTTCCTCAAGTTTACACCGTTGGGATGACTGGCCATATTTGTTTTTTTTTTTATCTTGCCATATTGACACTTTCTTTATTGTTTCTAAGGACTTCTGTTAAATATCCTTTGTGCGATTTCCTTTCCTTTATTTTGCTGGCATCCAATTTCTTAGCTTTGAGGTCATTATTGAGATTTTATTTTTTTAAGTAGGTTTACTTGGAACCTTATCAAATCAAATGTTAGACTACATAAGATGTCAAAACACAGTGTTGTAGTTCTTCTCTCTCTACTACAACAGAACATTCAGTTTTTTGTCTTCTTTGATGTGAATCCTTTCAAGATAAAAAAGGGCTAAATAAAAGCTTTGTGAATCCCACGTTTTATTCATTATTTTCCTTACTTAGGTTAACCTTTTTCTTATAAGTTAATCATCCTGCTGTATGTTTAAGTAGTAAACAAAATCTGTCTGCTATTAGTTTAATGTTGATTTTGTAATATGGCTGTAAACCATCTGGCAATGCCCTTGGGAGGCTGCTCTGTAGAAGTTCTGGTACACGGCCTTAAAAAGAAAAATACAAAAGATTAAAGAAGACTATGACAAGCAATCTATATTCTATACATTTAGGGTTATTGTAATATTAATTTATCTGTTTATTTATTGTTCAGTCTTGATATTCAGGAATGAGAAGGGTATTTTGTGCTTTGAATGAGAAAAACAATCAAAATCTACTCATGGAGAACATGTTTACAGTTCAAGTATTATGGTTATTACTCAATTTTTTCAATGGGGGGAAATTGAATTTTACAGAGACTGTGTTTTTTATGTCATAATTTCTTAAAATTAGAACATTCCTATTGTGTGGTAGCAACAAAAAAAGCTGGTTACTCTATAGTTCTATTCAATGCAGTAAAAGCACCACAAATGCTACATAGAAGTATAATTTTAGTGATCATAAAATTATGTATCCTTTTTGCCCAGATCAAGTCATTACCGTAGATAAATTTTAAAGTTGTAAACCCACTTTCTGGATTACTGCCTCTTTCATTTTGAGAGGAAGGCAGTGCATCATTTTTCAAATAATTCAATACATAAAATAAAAAATAT